ATGGTCTACTGGAGAGTTTTGCTGCAATCTCAAAAATACCTTCACTGTCAAAAGAACAAACAATTTTCTTCCTGGAAGATGTGCTGACAGACTGTTCCATGGAAGTGAGGACTGAGTCTCATATACTTTGGGCATGTTGTCAGAAAGAACCAGTGCCTGGAGAAGAACATCATGCTTGGTCAAGAGGAGATGGCATGGATTGATACAATGTTTGCAACAATGAACTCAAGTACATCAGTAATTGTGAGGATGGGATTGGATCAAGCAGTGTTTTATTCTGTTATATGGAGGATCCCTGACCGAACAATAGTTAACAAGAACATAGGCTGTTCTTAAAATGACAGATTACTCTAGAAGACTAAGTAGTGAATGGGTATTAAAAGATTTGAGAAACTCTCTGAGAGTGTATGGGGGGGATAATAATATTAGGGAAAGAAGAATAATTGGATGAAGAACAAACACAATTGCAATCAGCATACATAACACTTGTATTTTATTCAGTATTATTTAATAGTACTGCCTTTTAAAAACAAGATCCTACATTGACTTACAGATATATTTACTGATCCAAAGAAGTTTATAGATCTTGTTCAAATAGCTATAATTACATTGTTGTTGTTATCTTCATATTTATCAGAAAAATATCTGAACAAAATGGAGCACTCATAAGAAGATTATTGAATAAGATTAAAGAATACAAATTGGATTTTTCTCATTGTTTTGCATTTTTATATATCTGGAGGAAATGTGAATTTTTACATCTTAAAATTCTCATTGCCCACACCTCATTCCATACACAAAACCCAACTCAAAGTGGATCATGGACCTAAGGTTAAAACCAAGGACTGTAAACTTCACTAAAGAAAAGCTTGGAAAAACCCTAGACATCCTAATTCACAACATAAACAGTCCTCCAAGCATCCTGGAAAATCTACAGCCAGGAGAAGATAAAATAGATAAATGCGACCTTCTAAGAATCAAATCTCTGTGCACATCCAAAAACTTCTCCAACAGGATAGATAAAAAGGGAAGCCACAGTTTGGGGAAAAATATTTGAGAATGACATGTCAGATAAGAGACGTATATCTAGAATTTATAAAATACTCAAGCACCACAACAAGATAAACATAAATAATCCAGTTGAAAAATGGGCATAAGATATGAACTGCACCAAAGAAGACATTCAGATGGCAAACAAGCACATGAAGAACTGTTCAAAATCCCTAGCTCTAAGAGAGATGCACATCAAAACAACTATGCTATGAGATATCATCTCACCCCCATAAGAATAGCAAAATTTAACAGAACAGCAAGCAACACAACAAATGTTGGCAAGGTTGTGGAAAAACTCCTTATTCACTATTGGTGGGAGTATAAAATGGTGCAACCACAATGGAAGGCTGTATGGCGCTTTCTTAAAAAGTTGGAAATAGAAATACCATTTGACCCAGTAATTCCACTACTGTGAACATACCCCAAAGAGACCATTACTGCTACCCAAGCAGATACACGCACACCTATGTTTATTTTGGCTTTGTTCACAGTAGCAAAAAGTTGGAAGCAACCCAATTGCCCATCAACAAAGGAATGGATAGAAAAGCTGTGGTATATTCACACAATGGAATACTGATCTGCTTTGAAAAATAAGGAACTCATGAAATATTACACAAAATGGCTGACCCTGGAGGACATTATGCTGAGTGAAATATCTCAGTCACAAAAAGACAAATACGACATAATGCCATTGTTATAAAAGAGGACTGACATGGGGATTGGGAGGGAGACTGAAAAACATGGGATAAATAATGTATACTGCATTGAATCAGATGAGGGAAAAAACTGTTTAAAAGGGATATATGATCAGATAATATTGTTATGACAGGAATCCAGAATGAAGGTAGCATAGTGGAGTAAACTTGTGGAGAGGGATTGAATAAGAATGAAAGAATTTTTTCATTTACTTTTCAAAAAGAAAAGTTAATTGGAGGGGAGGGGTGGGCAGGGAGAAAAGTACAACAGTGAGTGAATGGAAATCCAAAGTCTCTGTAAACTTTCATTAAAATTTAAAAAAAAAATCAGAAAAAAATTCTCATTGCCACTGAATTAGAATAAATTTCTAGATAGCCCTCTCCCAGATTTTCAGAGACTGCAAATTGCAAGGGAGGGTGTTGCCCATCTTATTTTCACAGAGCAGTTGGTGGATTTTTAACTACAAGAGAGGCACGGCTTTTGGGTTAGCAGTACAAATCACCAGCGCTTTTATTTATGTTGTTAGGTGCTGTCAAGTTGAGTACAACTCATACCGAGCCTATCAACAGCAAATCTGAACCCTATCTGCCCCTGTACTATCTCATTCTAATCACCTCTGACACACTTGAGCCCATTGCTGCAGTCACTGTCCCAAACTATCTCATTGGGGTCTTCCTTCCATCTTGCTAAGTGTGATGTCCTTTTCCATTGCCTCTTCTAGTAACAGGTCCAAATTGAGAAACAGGGTTTTTTCATTTTTTGCCTCCAAGGAGCACTCTGACTTTTCACAATACATACCTATTTGTTATTTTGGTAGTCCATGGGATACTCAGTTCTGTTCTTTAGGTTCAAGATTATTTCTGAACTATTGAATGCAGAGGGATTTTTTTCCCCTCAAAAAAATCCTTCCTTATCTTTCCTATAACTAGAAAAACAAAAATAAAAAGGAAAGAAGTTAAACAAAGGGAAAATATTGAAGGAGAAATATCATTAAAGAGGAAAGTAGGAAGAAAAATCTAAAAAGTAATACAGAGAACATGTGAAAAACAGATTAACTGAAATTTGTGTGATATTCAGAAATTTTTTACAGATAAGTAGAAAAACAGTATTAAGGAGATAAATATGTGGAAATGATGTCTGAACTAAGTGTGCATTTTACTCCTAATTCATAATCTCATCAAATGTCATTGTGTATAACAATACTTGCCACAAGTCTTGGTTATTGGAGCAAAGTTCTATTTCAGATATGTATATATTCAAATCAACAAATTCAACTAATTGCCATAGAGTCAAAAACCACCTCATTGCTGGCTCCCCAGAGAATTTTCGGAGACTAAATATCACAGGAGGAGATTGTCTATCTTTCTTTAGCAGAGCTGCTGGTGGTTTCGAACTGACTGTCTTTAGGTTAACAGTGTAACTCCCTACTGACTACACCACCAGAGCTCCCTTCAATTCACGTATAGACATATTTCCGTATAGTTAATATATTCAAATAATACTTAAAAGCATCAAAAATTTCAATAATAAAACCACATTAAATTATATATAGAATTGATTGGTTTTGTATTTTGTATGACTAGTATGAATTATTAAATAATTTATGTCAGTAAAGCAGCAAAACCCAGAAATGATGGTAGTTATAGAACAGAGTTTTGTACAGAAATAATGTTAGTTATAGAACAGAGTTTAGGTCTTTTGTGCAAAACTTACTCTTAGTCGTAATCGACTCGACAACACTAATCACTGCTAAGTGAAACTAGTGCTATTATATCTGGAGGAACATTCTTTCACTTTGTATACCAGTCTATGTCAATATGCAATACGAAGTAAGCTGGGTTGCTGTGATACTGAACCTTGTACCATTGGGGTATCAAATATCAGGATGGTTTCCCAAAGTGGACAGTGTTAGGTGGAGCTCTTAGTTGCAAAACAGGTTTGGAAGCAGGAGTGGCATCCACTTCCTAAACCACATGCCTCTGGAAACTCTGTGAACTTGGAGAAATGACAATAGTTATGGAAAGGCATTAAGTCTTTTGTTCATAGAGTTGCTATGCATTGTGCTCAACTCGACAGCATTCAACAACGACATGACAGTAAAAGTGTTCTAAGGGAGCTCTGGTGGCCTAGCAGTATGAATCTGTTCTGCAATCCTAAAGGCACATGGTTCGAATCTGCCAGCTGCTCCACGGGAGAAGATAGACAATCTCCTGAGTGACTAACAACCTCTGAAAACTCGCTGGAAGATCAGGTATGGTTCACTTCCAACTCAATGGTACACAACAACAACAAAAAGGTGTTCTTGGGCCTATTTGGGGGTTGAATAATGTGGATGATGTTTGATTCCTCCAAGTCTTTATTTCTTCTCTGGTGGCCTAGTCGCAAGAAGCTGAGCTGCAGTCCCAAAGGCCACCAGCTGCTCCAGGAGCAGGAGAAAATTGGGGAATCTCCTCTCGCGTCTCTGAAAACCTGCTGGAGAATCGGCTATGGGTCGTTCAGACTCTATGATACAAAAAAAACAACAAGAAAGGCACTCCCCTTCTCACACAACCTCTCTTGCTTTTTACACCATTTAGAATTATTAGAAAATGTCTTAAAAAGTAATGCAATAATACCCCGCCCCCATTTTTCTCCTCTCTCTCTCTCCCACCCTCCACCTCCCTAGCATTAAGTTAGATTGAGGCAGGAGGTGAGGTTTCCTTTTTGAGCCACTTGAGGGAGCTTACAAGTCTTGTATTTGAGCAGTGCTTGTGGAGCAGAGCTGATTGGACGAAAGTCCAGGAACAAGTTCATATCTACGCCGTGACACCCACCTGCCCAGGGTTCAGTTAAATGCATATTAGAGTGAAAATGTCCAGGGCAACAAGGCAAATCATCATGAAGAGGCAACTGAGCATTCTGCTGGGACTTCTGTGCACTAAGCTTGGCTGTGAGTTGGGGCTGTCCCAGGTGGGAATCTGAAGGGACTGTGCATGCAGCTGCAGTGGTGTTGAGGGCAGAGGGAGAAAGGAGCTCATGGAGACTTTCTTAGTTTTTATTTCTTCATAATCCACAGAGCCTTTGCATAATTTTGTAGATTTTCCAGAGACCATCAGAGGTAACCATTTTTGGGTTTTGTTGTTTTTTTTTTCTTTCTCTGATCAGATGTCAGAGGGGTGCAGGTGGAACAGAGCCCTCCAGTCCTGATCCTCCAGGAGGGAGGCAGCTACACACTAAGGTGCAATTTTTCTACTTCTGTGAACAATTTGCAGTGGTTTCTTCAAAATCCTGAAGGACAACTCATCAGCCTGTTTTACATTCCTTCAGGAACAAAGCAGAATGGAAGATTAAATGCCACAACCCTTATTTCAGAACGTCTCAGCTTGTTACACATTTCCTCTTCCCAGACCACAGACTCAGGCATTTATCTCTGTGCTGCAAGCCACAGTGCTTCCCCAGCACCTGCAGCCTGCACACAAACTCTGACTGCCCAACCCCTTCAGCTGTGACCATGTCACAAGTCACCCACTGCAGCATTTCTCAGCTTCATGTTTCTTCTCTAGGTTAGCAGAGTTTTAACCAGGGACATCAGCATTGGGACATTTTGTGTTTATCTTTCTTTCTCATTATATCCCTCCTCTTGTATCTTTAACTCATAATTAACAGAGTAATTGACAAGAAGACAAAAGCAAAATCAATATGTAAGCTTATGCTGGACTCTCATGTACTTAAACTGGATTTCCAAAGAGTAAGAGGTAAAAGAAATAAATAGAAAAGGGGGCAGGGGGAGAAATCACTCTAGCAGAGATGTGATTAGACAATATTTCAGCTTGAGAGTGTCTCAAGAATATTCAGAGCTGCCTCATGATAATGAGCCGCAAGAAGCAAGGGGAAATATTTACACCTGAAACAAACAGCCTATCAATTAAAGGGATAAAAACATTTGCTGAATGTTCATATATTGAAAAACAGCTGTGAACCCCCCCCCATCATTCTGAAATGTAGGTTCCTTTTAGTGAAGTCCCATTCATGCCCTTGAAACTTACTTATGTCCTAGGATGAGATCTATTTTACCTAACATTCCTTGTTAATCTTCTGCTTTGTTGTTCTATCCATCAGAGTATTCTTGTTAAAAATGAGGTATTTAAATTACCAACTATTACTATTGAATTATTTACTATCTTCAAATCCATTTTTGTGTCGTGTATTTCGAGGTCAGTGGTTTTTATCCTTTACCAACATGAAACATCTACTTTATATCTAGTAACACTTTGTTTTTAGCTCTGTTTTGTCTAATGTTTGCAAAGCAACTTTAGTTTTCTTCTTTTTAAAAATTATTTTCTTGTGTGTATACCGTCAAATCAGATCTAACTGGTGCAGGAAGAGATTGCCCCTCCTTCAACAAAGCATCTGGTGGATTCGAACCACACACTCTGGGATTGCAGTGCAGCTTCTTGCCACTAGGCTACCAGAGCTAGCTAGTTTTCTTATGCTTGCTGTTTGCATGATACACTTTTCCCCCCCATTTTTTAATTCTTTCACTTTTAAACTGCTTGTATTTTTTAATTAAAAAATATCATTTTGATACCACAGAGTTGAATCTTGTTAATCAGTTTATTAATATCTGACTTTTTTTTCAGAGAAAAATATTTATTTCACATAGTCATTTTGTCAATAATTCAATTAGTCATTTGAATTAGTGGTTGTTTATTAATATAGTAAATACATTGAGTTTCATATGTAAAAATACCCACATGTTTTATATTCTACATTTCAAACTGTGTCACATTGTACCACATTTTCTATTTTTTTCTTCTGGAATACTTTCATTCTCTTCCTCTCATATACCAAACTGATTGACAATCACAATTTAAAAAGTTGCATCTAAACTAAACAAAGTTAAAACAAATATAAAGCATCAATAGGAAGCTGTTAATTCTTTACTGATGTGTTTTTTTTTCTTTTCTATATTTTATTAATTTTCATAAACATTTACAGAGATTTTGGGTTTCCATTCATTCCTTGTTGCACTATTCTCTCTACCCTCCTCCCAGTTTGTTCTTGTCCAAATGCCACAGTGCTTGTATAATATTTTCATTTATCTAATTACTTTATATTATTTAACTTACTTGCCTACTGTTGGTTTAAAGCTTAAAATACACATTTTATCAACATTGACTGCAGATTTATGACAATTTAATTGTGATCACATGCAAGCACAATACTGCTGAAGATTATTCAAAAATGGCTAGAACATTCCATAGACAGAGAGCTACTAGAAATTCAAGCTGGATTTAGAAGAGGCCATGTTACCAGGGATGTCATTGCTGATGTCAGATGAACCTGGGATGTCATTGCTGATGTCAGATGAATCCTGGTAGAAAGGAAAAAACAAACAATCCAAAACAAAAAAACCCAAGGAAACTGTCTATTAGTGCTTTATTGACTATGTAGAAGCATTTGACTATGGATGATGACAAATTATGGATGGCTAACATTGAGTAGAATGAGAATCCCAGAACAATTAATTGTGCTCATGTGAAACCTATACCTAGACAATGAAGCAATTGTGCAAACAGAACAAGGGAACTCTACTGGTTTAAAATTACTTGTTGTTGTTCTTGTTGTTATGTGCTATTGAGTTGTCTTCAACTCATATATTGATCCTATAAACTAGATCTGAAGCCTGCCCTATCCTGATCCAGTCTCACTGACTGACATACCTACCCCCTTTAATCTAGTTACTGTGTCAATCCATCTCATCCATGGTCTTCCCCTCCTGCACTGTCACTCTACCCTTTGAAGCCTGATGTCCTTCTCCAAGGACTGGTCCTTTCTGGCTTAATGCCCAAAGTATGTGAGAGAGAGCCTCAATATCCATGCCTCCAAGAAGAAACAAACCTGGTTTTACCCTCTCCAAGACAGACATGTTTATTCTCTTGGCAGTCCCTGGAATGTTCAGTATTCTTCTCCAGCACCACAACTTCAAGGCAACAATTCTTCTTCTATCATCCTTAGTCATCCAGCTCTCTCACAAATAATTGTGAACACCATGGCCTAGATCAGATGCACCTTTGTCTCTAGACAAGGGTCTCTAGACTGATATCAATGCTCTTTAGCATTGTTTTTAGTAATTGTTTTAAACAATTACTGTTGTTATCGTTATGTACGGTCAAGTCTCTTGTAACTCATAGCAACCCTATGTACAGCATCTATGAAGCTTGTCCTATCCTGAGCCAGTCTCACTGATCCTGAAACACCTATCCTCATTACCCCTGTCACTGAGTCAATCCATCTGATTGAGGGTTTTCTTTTCTTGTGCTATCTCACCACCCAGCCAAGCATGATGTCTCTCTCCAAGGACTAGTATCTCCTTGCAACATGCCCAAAGTATGTCAGACAAAGCTTTAGAATCATTGTCTCCAAGGAGCAGTCTGGTTTAAAATTAGGAAAGATGTGTATCAAGTTTGTATTCTTTCACTATACCTATTCAATCTGCATGTTGAGCAAATTATTTGAGAAGTTGATGTCTATGAAGAAGAAGGTGGCATCGGATTTGAGGAAATGTCAATAATCTTCATAATGCAGATGACACAAACTTGCCTGCTATAAGTGAGGATGACTTTAAGTGCTTGCAGCAGAACATCAAACACTGTAGCCATCAATATTGATTATATCTCAACATCAAGAAAACAAAAATCCTTACTACTGCACCAATAGGCAATATCATAGTAGATGGAGAAGAGATTGAAACTGCCAATGACTTCATTGTATTTGAACCCATAATCAAAGTACTTGATACCAGCAGACAGGACAGCAGGAGACATATTGCACAGGAAAGTCTGTAGTCCGGGACCTCTCTGAATTACGAAGAAACAATGATGTTAGTTTGAGGACTGTGCTGCACTTGATTCAGACAATGGTCTTTTTAATTATTTGCTACTATTACTCTGGAGATGAAAAAGTGAGGAAAAATGGAGTTGCTTTCATAG